GTCACCCACCCCCAGCACCCCCTGGGATCCCTGCCCAGCATCACCTGCCCTGTGCTGTGCCCCTGGGCTCTGCCTGTGTCTCTCCTCCGCTCTCGCCCCTTCCTCTTTGTGCTGCACCCAGAGACACCCCTCCCTGAGCCTCCACCCTGTGCCCTGCCCACGGGGTCCTTCCCTGTGCCCTGCACCTCTGCAGCACCCCAGCCCTGTGCCCTTCTCCTGAGGGACCCCATTGTCTCCTCCAGGCTCAGCCTCAGCCCTGGGGAGCATCCCTGCCTGCTGCCCTCTGCCCTTCCCTGCACCCCCAGCCAGTGCTTGCCACCTCCTCCATTGCACCCCACTCCTGGGGCTGCCTCCACTACCCTGACTTGTGCCGCAGCCCTCGGGGACCTCCCCTGGTCCCTGTCCCAGTGGCACCAAGGGGACATCTCCCTGACGCACGGTCCCGTCTCCTCTGAGTACCCCAAGGCTCAGCCTGTGACAGTGCCCTGTCTGCTCCCTGGAGCTCTCACAGCTTTGGGTCCACGCTTTGTGCCCTCCTGTCCCCGCCAGTGCTGGCTCTGTGGGGACAGCCCTGGGAGCACCAGTGGGGACTGACACCCCCATCTTCCCCTGGGGTCCCTCGCAGCATCACGGGGCTGTCAGGGGTCACCTTTCCCTGTCACAGCCGATGACTGTGACGGTGACATCTCCAAAACGCTCCCTCCCTCTGCTCCCTTGGCTGCTTGTCAGGCCCAGCCCTGCCAATGTGCAGCGAAGACGTGGAAAAATACCGCAGCCCCGTGTCCTCAATGCCCCCGTGCCCCCCAGCCTGCTCACCCCAAACCCTCCTTCCCCAAATTCGGCTGCCAGGACTCCTGGATGCTCCTTGGGGGACTCAGTCTTCCCATGGCCCCCTATTCCCAGTGCAGGCAGCCTCCAAATCCAGTGCTGGGGGGCTGAGACCCATCCTCTGAGGGTGCCCCTGCCTTGCTTGACCCCTCTGTGCTGCTGTGGGGGGACATGTCCAGACCTACCTGGCTCCCCCCATGTGCAGACCTGATCCTAGGAGAGCAGTGCCCTCATTTCTCTGCAACCTGGGCGCTTCCTTGACGTGCTCTCATGCAGAGGAGCCAACTTTGGGTGTGTGTGTCCAGCTGTAGCAAGTCAAACTCTTTCTGGCAGGTACAGGGGTGTTTCCTACACCCTTTTTGTCATATACATCCCAAAAAGGAGCGGCGTGACTTGGGGGAAAGCTCTTGGGGTAGCTCCAGGTACCCCCCATGAGCCCCTTGACTCCCCTGATGTGAGGAGGGCTCTGCCTGCCCTGGTCCCTCTGAAGAGGGGGGCAGAGCTGGGGTCTCCATCCCAAAGCTGCAGGTTCACTCCCCAAACTAGAGCGCGTTCTCTCCTCCCTCTGCATTATCTGCTGACCCCAGAGCCTGCGCTCGCTGCCTCCCCAAGCTTCGGATCTGCTGGGGTGCCCATAAGTGATTTCCAAAGCCCAAACCGGAGGTGGCCGAGGCCCCGTCCCCGCGTGCTCCTGCGCGGGGAGCTCCGGCCGAGGTGGCCGTCACGTAACCGCGCTGCCGTGCCATTCTGCACGACCGCAGCCGGGCTATTTACGGGCCTGCACAGATGCTGTGCCAGCGCGCCGGGGCTCAGGGCACGCCGGGGATTAGGCGGGGACTTGCTCAATCGGGAGCACCAGTGTCAGGATAGCGGGCGATGTCGGGTCTCAGCTGCGGCGCGGAGCTGGCACCTCCGTCGTCTTAACGGGACGCGGAGGAAGGAATTGAAAAGGCAGAGGTTGGGGTGGGGGGGGGAGAAAAATGGGAAGCTGGAAGCCTGGAGGAGAGGCACGCACTTGAGCAACGTGCCCCGATACACGCACACCGTCGGGGCTTGTGTGCAGCCACGTGTCCCCCCTGCGTCCCTGACCCACGGCGGTGACACGGCTGCCTTAAATGAACAGGTAGGGGGTGTTTGTCACCCACAGGGTCATGTCTGTGGGCTGCCCTGGTGTCACCCATGGGTGTCACCATCAGTCCGAGCCCCCCAGGCTTCTCACTGCTGCGTCTCGTCTCTGCTTTGCACAGAGGGAGTGCGGGGTTACACGCAGCAGTGGGGATGCTGCTGCTGCTGCTGTCGTTAGATTTTAGGGGTTTTAATTTTTCCCCGGTGATGCTAAGCTAATTAGCGAGCTGTTAATGAGCTCCCCGGATAGGTGACCGCTGCAGAGGTTGGCGTGTGCCACCCTGCATCGGGGCAGGGAACGTGCTC